CAACAAGCACGACTAGAACGAACAATCAGTAATACATAATACAGGACAAATAAGTTTAATAAAAAAAATAAAAGATATATCTTCTTACAGCAAAGGAAATAATAGATAGCTTGAAGCACTAAATGCAGTTTGACGAAAAAAGTCATTAGTAATGTTTTTAGATAATCTTCAAAAATTAACTAAATTTGAGTGCCAATATTCGAATAACGTAACTGCTTTTTCTGAAGATCAACAATTTTCACTTTTTAGAATGTTGATATTTATTGCAAAAAAATAAGCGTTAATATACCCATACATTATTTTAAATGTTATCTTTGCAGGTTTTCTTATTTTATTACCTTTAAAGAGGTACGACCGTTTTTCGGGCAAAAATGCATTTTTTGTAATATTTTTTACTATTAAGCTGCTATCTTTTTACAGAATGAACCTGCTCCCATGAGATACTGAACATTAAAAGTTCTTTAAATAAATTTTTGAAAGTTTTCAAATCGTCTGGTATCGCTTCCTTTGATGTACTACAATTACTAACCATCCCGTACCTGCAAGCCAAAAAAAAAAAAAAATCGTCTGACAAACGATCGTTAATAGTAAAATATGCTCCAATTACAGAGCAAGCGAGAAATACCGAGCCCATATCATTTAAAAAGATTGAGCTAGCATAGGAAATGTTTGTTTTACAAATGTGTGTTTTACTTGAATTCTTCTCGTTGTAAAGGGTTTAGAAAATCATAAAATCATTTAATTCGTTAATAAGTTTTATTGGAATTGGTCGGTTTTTATTAAACATAAAACATCAAATATGAAAAACAACTTAACACCGCCATTGGAAGTGTTTTGAAATCAGCATTCAGTCTAAAAAGTCGATCAATACGGAGCAGATTTTTTTTTGTCAGCCAAACCTGATTCTGTCTAAATCTTTCAGGAAACCAGGTCAGTGTTTGGCCATTTTAGGTTTGTTTTACGACTTACCCCGTAGGGAGAAAAGTTCAAATTCCAAATTTTTTCTTTTGTTGACAGCAACTCCTGAATTTATTATTCAGTCTTCCCTTCCAAGTTTTAAACACTGGTCGCAAACAATCAAGAGCGGTTTATTCATCTAAACAATTAATTACGGCAAAAACAACAATCTATTTTAAATGTGAACCATTTAAATACAATAATGTACACAATAAACATGATTACAGTTATAATTTTGTACGCTAAATAATTAAAGTTTTGGTCAATGTATAATTTTCTTACTCGTGAAATTTTAATAATAGTTACAATTAATTAAGGTTTTTAGTCGAGATAAAAAAGTCAATGGGATGAGCGGGATTTGAACCCACGATCTTCGGCTAAATACGCCGCTGCTCTACCACTTGAGCTATCGTGACCCCACTCCACTCGGACACTAACTTCCCATCTCAACCCCACCCTTTGAATTTTCCCTCCTTTTCCCCATTTTTCAACTAAAAACCTTAATTAATTGTAATATATTAATTGATCAAGCCGTCCAGGAAATTAGTGAATTTAATAATGGTGTTATTCTCATTTTCTCTTGATCGTTACATGGATGTTCTGTTAGTGAGATTTCGTAAATTTCTCTAAAGTCGATTGCATTTGATAATTGCTGTCTTATTTTTATAAGTATGCTCAACGATGAAACGTTAAAAAAAGTGGTTTCTATTCACGTAAGTATGTTTTCTGTACTTAAAATAAAATTTGTAACGCTTAGTTTTGGTCACTAAAACTGACCATTTATGAAGAAATACCCGAAATTTGATATCCGAAGTGAATTTGCATGGTCAACAGTACGAGCCGTCTACTTATCCTCGTTGCTGATAGGTGGCAAGAGAATTTAATTATATGTTTCTTTTAATCAAGGTAAGCTAACGCAATACATCAATTGAATTTATGACCGAAGGGCCTTTAATTGTGATTAATTAAAACAAGTGCAAGTTGTTGCTGGGACGTAATAAAATGAAAGGCCTTAGTTAAATAAAATTAATTAGTAAAGATTAAAATAAATAAATAATCATAGACTTAGCTGGATACAGTGGGACATTTATCAATGTTTTGACTTGATTAAAAAAAAGCTCTCGCTCTTTTCACCGTTGTGTTGAGACTCTTCTTGAGAGAAAAACGTTAAAACAAAAAAATGCAAAAATGGTTGCACTGCAAGCAAATTCATTATATTAAGCCATTACCGTCAAGTAGATAATGAGTTAAAAATTTCTAGGATCACACAATCAAAACAAATAAATGTAGGTTCAGCGAGTCCTATTGTTTACAACGTTAGTAACTTTAATACTTCGGTGTATCATTTATACAGGCTCCTTATAATTATATTACATCAAATGTATTCCTTAAACTTGTTTTTTTTCTATATAATATAATATCATACCATTGTTTATAAAATAAGTACTGAAGTCTTGAAGAACATTTCAAAATCCGCAGCATAGACGACCTTATTATCTTGCTTATTTGAAGGAAAAGAAATGGCATTGGCAAGATAATATGTGATGAAGTTTGAGGTACTTAATCATCACTGATACATGCTAGGTTTATCAGTATGCGAAACCTGTGGAATAATTTCGATTCATACCTTATCAGATAAAATCCGAACCCTGAAATTTAGTCAGAAGAAAGGAATTCAGGGAATTATGTTTAGAATTCGGATTTATTTAAATATCTAGGTATAGGAGAAAAATATAAAGAAGGTTAGGAAAAATTGAAGAGGAGGGAAATGAAAACTAGGCATAAGTCGGTTTATAAAAAAAAATTGCATAAAACAATGATTGGCAAAATAAATATGTCCAAAAATGATAATTTATATTAATTGCCATTAGCTGAGAGAAAACTATGCTTAACCAACAATTCGTTTCCATTATTTGGTTAGTAGACTTTTGCGCCGTACAGTTCAATGAGCATACAGATAATTTATTATAATTGAAAAATAATGTTTTAAAATATGAAAATACAATTCTGTGAAAACTATAAAAATACATGTCTGTGAGCAAAAAACAGAGAGAGAAAGAGAAAGAGGAGGAAAGAGGAGAGAAAAAGAGAGAGGATATTGGAGAAAGAGAATGGGTGTGTTAGAAAGAGATTGGGGGAAGATATCATCGCAATGATACCCACATACCTATGTATTATATATAATGAGATTTAATTGTTTTTATCAAAAGTAGTCGTACAAATGTACTTTTATTGACTGACTAATAATTCTCTGTTTTAAGTATAACTAATAAATTATTAAAACTATATATTTAACTTTTATGTGTACCAAATTTATTTATTCTTCAAAAATGTTAGGACATTATAAGTATGATAATACAAGGCATTTTAATACTTTGTTACTATATGCTTCTACTATATGCCAAAAGAGTAGCAATTGATAAATATTGACATAGCTTATTGACCACAACCCATTCTAAAAAACCTGGAATAAAGCGTCCGCCGCCCAGAGAAATATAACTTGATAAAATTAAATTTAATTCAATAAATTTGAAATTCTAAAATCGCGTTTGAAGTAAGGACATTATGTCTGTTTAGCTGGTTTGTTATATTTGTCTGTTTAAAATTAACATACCAATCATCTTTGAAATATATTTGTAAGATTTTTCCACGTGAGATGACTAACGTGTAATTTCATATTATCGATCATTTTATTCTGTCTAACCTTGCTAGTTTGTCATACGAGTTGCGGCATTGCGACTTCTTCAGTTTTGGATTTCATGTTGTTTTAAAATCTATAAACTATAAACGACTATAAAATTATTGGAAACTAATAAAAAACGATAGAAACTTAAATGATAAAAAATGAAATTTTGTTAATCAGATAGCTAATCTGTCTACAGGAAATCTGACTAACAAGGGAATGAAATACGAAAAGAAAATATTCTTTTTAACTTAATCATGCAACAATTTGAAAGTTAGAAATATGTTTGTAAAAAAGTACGTTTGTAAAATTTATATTTGTTAACTTTAATTAAAAAATTAAAATAGTTTGACTAAAATATGTGTAATTAAAATTTTAATATTAAATGTACAAGGAACAATGAACGGCGCGAAAGGTCAACCAAATTGAAAGACAGATGCGTATTGCTGGTTTAGCCTACTTTCCGCCCTGGCAACACCATCTGTGGAGGCCGGCTGTTGTATAGTGAAAAATAGTATTTTCAATATAAACAATATAATATACTTAAAAAATGATTCTTCTTGTATTGAATAGACTGAGGTACTATTTACAACGTACGAGAAATTCGCATTTCCTTTCACAAACAATAATCAATCAACAAGCATCGTAATGAGAATAAAGGTTAAAGTCAAAATTAACAACCAAAGAACAAAAAATATATAAAATTTCATAAAAGTGTCAAAAAAGAAAAAATCAATGTATCCTTCTATAAGTGTATCCTTTTCACGATTGACCATTTTATCCTGCCTGGAATGAATTTGTGAAATTCCCCCCTCTCTTCCACTGTATTGGTTTTTTCGTAAGAATGATCATCGCACATTAATTAATTTTATTATTTCTTGTTAATTAATTTGTCAGTCTGTAGTTTATGTTCCTTCTTTGCTGGTTTGTTCTGTTAGATTAATTTTCTATGTTTCTCGTCATCTTCGTTGATGTGCTTGTGTCATTTTTGTTTAGTCCCATTATAAAGTCATGGAAGGTAAAGTAGTTTCTAGATGTTTTCTTTATCTAACATGGCCTGAATGAAGGAAGAGAAAATTCAATGAGATCCGATAAACCCGACCGATATTGTATTGGCCCTACACTGAATATGACGAGAAGGCGTTTGGCAGATCAACCCAGCAAAGATAGGAAGGCCAAAATGATCGTTAACGAAAAATTGAAACATGTTCATTTCTCGTTCGAATTATCAAGTCATAGCGATTGTATTTTTTTCTAAAAATAATAATTTGATAAATAAGACAGATAAAAATACTGTATTTAAATCAAAATTATGTAAGGTTACATTTGTGTTCATTTTTAATTTATAAAAAAACAGATGTACACTACTAAAATAATTTTTTGTTAAAATAAAGATAACAGAGCATTGATATGATTTATTCCCAAAGGGAATTCAGCAACAAAGTCAACCTGGTATATGTAATGTATAGGATAACCAAGCCATGAAAAATGGCTGCGAGATTGCGACGCACGCCAAGAAATACATCTGTCTTTTATTAATCAAGATATTCGAATCCTGGTAGATGTGCGAATTCATTTGGGGGAAGCCGGAGTTGTAACTTCTCGGATCGTTGGGTAAGCCGGGAAAAGTTCCATACTGAGAAAGCAGTTGAAGCCGCAGCGTCCTTACCATAAAAAACGACAGGGCAGAGCTGAAATAAACCAGTACGGCTACGAATTCACCGAAGGACAAAGTTAATTGGGCGAGGGTTGAAACTGTGGCCCCAACGAATTTGTAACCATCGTAAGCGACGAACTCAACTGTCGAAAAGCATATTTGCACGGACGTGAGGTATATCATTAATAACTGCAAGCCTACTTCTAATACCAAGCAGAGGACCGACTGCGTAGCCGCGACGACGAGAGTTTCCACGCAGAATCTTCCGTTGATACCAAGGGCGATACCGATTGTGAGGAGGTATGTTGCGAAAGCCATCACCGGGATGTACAAATCTGGAGAGTTAATGTCATTTTTAGGTTTAGCGGGAACGTAGTCGATGTATCGCCTCGTCCAATCGTAATGGTGAAACGGGAAGAAAAGCAACTTGAGTTTACCGCATACGTAGTTCGTATCTACGGCAAAATAGTGTCTTAGAGCGTTTACCGGTTTGTAACAAGCGAATTTCTCCTCGGCGATATTCCTTCCCGAACCGACGAGTTTGTTCCCGTAAAATAGAAACGCACCTGTGACTTGGCTCGTGACGAAATTCCTCAACGCCTCGTCGGTGTTGTCCCGTCCTGCAAAACTGCACGCAGATGCTCCGATGTCATCGTTCATCTCGTGTATCCTTCTGTAATAGGCATGCTGAGGATGCATCTCAGAGATTCAAAAATGCAAGATTATTGGAAAATTATGAAATCAAACAGCAGATTTATAAAATAAACATGTGTTGTTTTAAACAAATAATACAAATGAGAATAAACCTTTGATGTCAGATTTTTTTCTTAATGGTAAAGATTTCTCTTTTATTTCCTGACACAGATGTCGCCTTTTGTTTTCAACCTCTTTCATTTGTTCATCGCTCTCGTCAGATGTCAACTTTTGACAGTTATCGAACTAAAAAGATTCTTTTTTTCATTCTATTGTTGATCAAAAAAGGACTTACCTGAAATAATCTTCACTTTTATTTTTTTATCGTCTTTCTACCTTATTGATGTGACATGGAAAAAACCGAATTAATCTGATGAATTTATTAATTTTAGTAAGTTTATTAAGCAAAACAATATTGTCACATTATTCCATTTAGTTAAAGGTAAAATTAAATTGTTTACAGTGGGTTCACCTCTTAACATCATCTTTCCAATTAAATTGATTGTTGAAATTTGATTATCGTTATATCTTGATACTTATATATAACATTATTGTTCTTGTTCTTGACAAATTATTTTATTTGAAATTTTTAACTAAATGATATTTACTTATTACATTAATATTACTTCTGCATTTGTCTAACAATAAGTCGAACTTTTTTTTTAAACTTCATTTATATTTATCTACAACTCTATAAGTATTGTATACAAGCATACAACCAGCAGATTGAATTTCATTATTTTGCGATTGTGACATTACGAGCGTAACTAGGAAAACTACCCATTGGCACGTGCTCTGGATTAATAATATAATATTAATCATCAAATAGGTCTCTTATTAATATTCTTTTCAGTCACCTACGTGGTATTATAATTAAATGGGAATGGAGTAATCATATTTGGGTGGTTAGTGTGATCTTGTAATTTACTGTAAAACGTCTGTAATATGTTTTGATGGATGAAAAAACTGTTGACATTTGAAGATCTTTGTGAAGTGTGTTATTTTTTACATGAAAAGAACAGAAACAATATTTGACCAATCCGTAAATTTGGCCGTATATGTTGAAATGTTTTTAATACAATTAAGTTTTTAGTTGAAATAAAAAGGTCAATGGCACGAGCGGGATTTGAACCCACTTAAATTCGACCCACTTGTGCCATTGACTTCTTTATCTCAACTAAAAACTTTAATTAATTGGTCAAGCAGACCACGAAATTAGTGAATTTAAGTTTTATTTAATAGTAATCTTGATCGTCGGGTCATTAGATAGTAAAGCATTTTAAATCATGCGTTAAGTATTGTTTTTTAATCGTGTGTGCGGATACAAAGTTAGTCTTTTATTACATGAAAGTCCTAAATAGTTAACTTTGCCTGATTGAGGAATCGGTTCATTGTATAAATGCTAAGAAGTCTCACGGCGGAGTGTGAAGGTGATGTTTGTGACTTCGAGGTCTTTATTTTCTTCTCTGCAGTCTCATTTGTGGGTATGTCAGAAGTAAAATTATAAACAACTTCACTAATTTCGTGGTCCGCTTGACCAATTAATACATTACAATTAATTAAGGTTTTTAGTTGAGATGAAAAAAGTTAATGGCACGAGTGGGATTCGAACCCACGACCTTCGGCTAGATACGCCGCTGCTCTACCACCTGAGCTATCGTGACCTCGATCCACTCGGACATCAACTCCCCATCTCAACCCCACCTTATGAGTTTTCCCTCCTTTCGCCATTTTTCATTCGACATTAATTGGTCAAGCGGACCACGAAATTAATGAATTTAATGAATTAACTGAAGTACACTTCACTAAAGCTCTCCGTCGCCATTTCTATTGTCGTCGAGAATCCAAACCGATTACACGACATTTGAAAAATGGCGAAAGGACAAGCTGGGTTCATATCGGCTTATGGGTCGGCTGCGGACGGCGGGTGCTGCATCAGAGGTACGCGTGGGTTAGGGTACCAGATCCTGTCTGCATAGACAGGGGAGGGTGCATAACCATCTGAACTGTGGGTAGTAGAAAATGTTCCAAGTCCATACCTACTACATGGGAATGGACAGGTTGGCTTAGTAGTGAGGCTTCTGGCGAGCACTTAGTATGAACCTGTTGCTCGGGGTACCGTTATCGGTTTCCTTCCGAGGGCAAAGTGCTAGGAGGTGGTTAGACATTCCACTTTAAACAAACCCGCGACCGGAGCTAAACAGGTAGTTCTTACCCTGGAGGAGCCCCTACTCTGGGAGATGCAAGGCAGGATGACCCCTGATGCATTTCAGTCAGATTGGGGAACCCTCTCCCGGCGGCACACGCTCTGGTTCTTAACGCAGGACAATCCACTCGGCATGGACAAGCGGGCAGTGAGGTCCGTCTCGGCCCCTCGGGGCAGGGGCGGCTTCTACATCAAAACGTGCGGCTATAACCATACTCAGTCGTTAGCGAAGGTGTCATCTCTCATCTTGATAATCAAAACGTCTGGTAAGGCCTAAGGGGTAGGTGCGGACGTTAAAGATCTTCATGTTCTTTTAAAGACAAGTACCTATGGCCCCTAATGACCCCTGTGGCCCACCTGGAAGGACTTTATCTTACAAGTCTTTGATCTCTGGCTTATGGCGAAAAATCTCTCCTGAAGACCTGAAGGTATGATTATATGATCCAATAATAAGGTACTGATGTAAAAATATGTGTAATTTGACTTGATCTTAATTGAACATAAAATTGAATTTTAAATTAAATTGGTCTAAGGCCAAAATGTTCAAAAAACTATAGTTAAACGATTACTTATATTTTAATCCTGCACAATACGAAATAGTATAAAATTGTTATTGAACACAATAATAATAATAATAAATAATAATCAATCACATTAAGACATTTCAAACTTCTAATATCTAAACGTTTATTTAAGTAAATTTCTGAGATGTATTAGCTTTTGAAAGTAAAAAATTGTAGAATGTCCCAATCTTCTTTTTTGGAAATAAGCCATAACAGACTTGAGTTGTTTGAATAGCGTCAAGTTATTTTTTATCACAAAGCCGTCACTTTGCTGAATTACCTTTCATAAGATGAAAGATTGTCCTCCATTCAAAAACAAAGCACCAGAGAGATCCTGCTAATTCCATCAATTTATTAAAACAAAGTTTTTTTTCTCTCTCTCGTAAGTAAGAGTTTCATCGGCACATTAATTCCACGTCGAGTTTCACTAGCTGAGACCACAATTTGATAAATTAATTATAAGGTCCGCATTGTTTGAAAAGACTTTCCACTTTCGGATAATTTATTTGATTTCTACCGTCAACATTTTTCCCGAGCATGACAAAAGTGAGGATTATCTAGACCGTTAAGGGTACGCTTATAGTTACCTTTTAAATTACCTTTTAACCAGGCTATTTTCTTTTGTCGCATTATATATGCAAACGAAGAATTGTTTTCCAAGTAAATGATGGAATTCGAATCGCCATTGAGTTACAGAATATAAATTGCTCATAAAAACATGATTGCAATTGGAAATCAATGCAAAAAATTGCATTCTAAACCATTATAAATAAAACAATATTGTTGTAATAAGTAAAGAAATGATTTAATTTTACATTGCTATCGTTTTATAAAATTTATATTAATATTTTCTTTGGTGATTGATCAGCCTTCTCAGTTTAAATATTTTTCTTTCCAAAAGGTAGATTGAGGATGAGGCCAAGAAGGCAGAAACAACATTTATTTCCTTGTCGAGCTTTCGGCAGAATATGCTGATGGTCTTGTCTTGTGATTTTTGTGAGTATTAAGACTGAATGTATTTATTAGCGTTAATGTGTAGTGTGAGAAGTCCGATGGAGGAATACTGCATATGCCATCGATCGTCAATTTATTTAGTTATATAATATAAGGGGAAGAGGATGGAGGAATATCCAAGTACTCCACCACTCTGAGCTTATAGCAAATTGACAATAGCATTTTTAAAACTTGATGAATGTTTGATTTCAACAGCGATAGAATGACGATTACGGAGGACATTCGAAACAATAAAACGATCATCTCTCTGAAATGTGACACGATGGCGACCTGATCCATGACTTCTTGTGTGACTTCCAGGATCTCAGTAGCAGCCGTTCGGACTGGTTTCTGGGAAGGTTACTCACCCTGGCAACATACTCTTTCTTGACTTCTTCCATTTTCAAACAATGCTATGATTCCAGACGAATCTGTATCACTTAAACCAATTTGAAACTTAAAAAACAACACAGCTACAACAGAAAAAAATCAAACCACCGTAAGTTTAACTTCCAAATATAAGGCTAACATTGCGTAACCAAACTTTCAAATATTTCTAAGAAACTGGTTAATTTTTTTGTTACTATTAATGTAAAAGTTTAAAAGCGGGATGCTTTCAATAAATGTTTGAACTTTCTTCACAGCAGAATAAGCCAGATAATACCGACGCACATTCTACAAAGAGGAACAATCTAATTGTCTCTATGAACTGTAGAATGGATTAGTTAGTCTCATTCAAGAAAATATTTCTCAGTGTAAAGCTTCTTTTTTTTTTTTTTTTTTTTTTTAAGAGGGTTCGCAACAGCAGAGGTCATATAAACTCTCAGGGTTTCGGTGTTTTGAAAAAAAAGCTCATTTGTAAGTATATCGGGTTCGAATGCAGGGCCGCTGGATTCGAACCCGGGATCTTTACCTTCCAGTGATGAGCGCCGTGTCAAAGCCTAAACCTTTGCGGCCACCGACCCCCCACGCCATAAAGGCACTTATCCTCAATAATAATAAAGTGGAAAAACCAAATATATATTAAACAAAATTTATTGAAATAATTTTTAATATTTTATTTTTTGTGCAGTCAGTCTTAATTCAATTAAAATCATATTAAAAAATCTAGATATGTGCAAAAATGGCCGGATAATTTTCTACTTAGTTATTCGAACTATTATAAATTGAATTAGTTTTTCTTTTCAAGACATCTCAGTTTTGAATAAATTGCACTGCTTTTTGGAAATGTGAAATAACAAAATTATTGTCAATGATACGCTTCAATAACTTTCTATTAGGAGCACCATTAACTTTTTACTTTAACTCAACTTCAAAGTAAACCTAATTACTTTGAATCGTTGCTCCATT